GACTGAATCAACGAGTGAGGAAGTGAATGAATGAGTTAATAAATGAGGGAGTGAGTGAATGAATGACTTGGCAGTCAGTAGCATCTTGGGCCAGTGCTGTGCTAGACATTCCAAGTGTTGTGTAAGTTTCGAAATGTTTAAATCTTGTATTGATAAAATCTCACCTTATATTTCTTCATAGGTGAGTCTAATAGGACATCACATGAAGCCCCAGTTTTAAATCTGTATGTTTTCCATTCTGTGTGTTTATTTTCTGGAGTATGAGGCTTTGGATTCTTAGGAGAAGAATATCCCATGTGACCTATCAGGTAGCTACTGATGGGTTTTTGTGTTTGGGATTTATTAATTAGTCTAGAAAACACTCCTAACAATTCTGTCTGATGATCTGAGGACATGAGTTGTAATTCCAAATCCTCCGTCTCTGTGTGATGTTTCAATAATGAGGAAAGTGTAGGAACTGAATCTCCTTAGCCTTTAGTCACAAATACCATCAGGTAAGGAGAAATCAAAATATTTTCCATTATCTTTGAATGAATAGCAATTTATTAACTTTATGGAGATGTTTCATAATCCACAAATTGTCTCTTACCACAGATGATTTTATTTGTGTTAAAATCATAAGTTTTATGAGGAGATTAAGGTGAAGGAACATGTTTCATGGACATCATATACCTATATGAAATAGAACAATGAGCCCTCTTGCAAGTGCTTGAAGTGGGGCTGAGGGGGGCAAGAGGGAGTGATCTAACCAATGTACAATATAAGCCTATTTGGAATTGTCACAATGAATTCCCCCTATACAACAAACATATCCTAATAACTTTTTTTTAAACCATAAGTTTTAAAATGCCTGATTATAGGAAGAGATTGATAGGATAGGGAACTTGTTAAATTGTACCCAAAACTTAGCTACAATACAGTTCACTGAATTTTGTGGAGATTATTGGACTTCATGGTAATTCCCCTCCTTTGCAGCATTAGTCATTGACGGTTAAAACTGGAGGTCATCAGGTCTAGTCCTTTTATGTGATAAAAACTGAGGCTGGTGAGATAAAGGGATTTCCATTGGAGCAAAATTATTTTGATCTTTTCCAACAAGGATATTATACAATATACTGCTCAAGACAGTAATTGAGCAGGCTAACAATAGAAAGGGGTCCATTTTTATTTTATCTTCCTCTTTATTTTCCCTGTCTCCTTTTCTCCCTTACTACAGTGAAAAGCTCAAATGAGCTAGATGAAGAAGAAGGGAAAAAATAAAAATGAGGTTACTGATTTCTGAAAAATGGAAACTTGTGTATGGGATGTGGTTTTCATGAGCTCCACAAGATCATCAGCCTTATAGCGTGTTGTGACTCTTCTTCAGACTTACTTTTTTGACCTAATGTCTGATGATGAGTAATTGCTCAGGGGTTTCCCTTTCATGCCCTAGTGGGAAGGCTGAGAACCTTCTCCAAGGGGTTCATCCTAAGAAGAGGGCAGAGGGCTGCCTTCCTCTTGGTGTCATCTGGATCCAGGGTGGAAGGTGAAAGGACAGCCTGGGCTACTAAGAATCCTAGCAAGGGTCATGTGCTCCTACCTGCTCTGTGTGACTGGCCTTCCTCAACCTAGACAACTATTTGTCACACAAAACTCAAATTCCTATTTAGAACATTTGGCTCAATTTTAGAAAAGAATAGATGCTTTATTGCACTTCATTCATTCAACAACATTTACTGAGAACACACTGTACTGAGAATTGGCCCAAATAGGAAGATGTGCAAGACAATTCTCCTTAGAGTCTGCCAATCAAGGGCTTTTTGTTTCCAGAGGAAAGGACCTTTTTTGCGTTATAAAATTCTGCTGTACCCCTGTCCCCACACTTTGACCACACTACTCTGTCCTGGTAACACAGGGACATGGATTAGTGGCCATAGATGTTAGCAAATGAACTGGAAGTGTCTATTCCAGCATGCTTCTTGTTCACTTTCAAGTGCTGTGTTTCAGCATCCCATCAGAAACACTAGGTCAAATAATAATTATTGCTATTAATTTTTCAAAAGTCTCATCTTTTCCAGCCAGATGTAGACATTTTGAAACAATATGGATATTATAAAGTCTTGGGGCTGATGAAGTGTTTCAAGTGGTCGAGTGCCTGCCTAGCAAGCATGAGGCCCTGAGTTCAAACCCCAGTTCCACACACAAAAAAAGATAAATGATATAGTGGATATTATAAAGTCTTGAAAATAACCAGAGGCAACTAATAATATTATTTGACAATGTAGTAAAGAACAGTGATTTAATTGCTTTTTATTTCAGTATCTCACTAGGAAGGAAAGACTATCAAATCAGAGAGTTGGAGTTTAGTAGCCTGATTCTATCTTAATGTAAATTAACAGTAAACATTTTAAAACAACAGATGAGATATAAACATTTTTTTTAAACTTGGGTAATTGAATCCTGATTCAAAATGATAGTTAGTTCTAGAATGTAATCTGCTACCTACTGCTCAGACAATGATCTATCATTATCTCTTGAACCCTGTAATTGGACAAGCAGGAAGCTATTCATAATAATAAGTTTGTTCAAAATCGTCTGTTGGCTAGAGTCTGGGGCACACTGCAATCACATGGAACTGAAGACAAAGCTGCTTAGTTGATCGTTACCATTGTTTGCTCACCTCTGTAACAACAGTGTAGAGCAGCACTAAACACCTGGGTGGGTAGTCCAAAGCACCTTAACAAAATTACTGAAACAATATCCATTTGTCCTGTCCTCTGAGAGTGGGCAACATAAATCTTATTTGCTGCAAGACAGAGCTGCCACTGAACCTCGCCCATCCCTGCCTGCTGCACAGGCACATGTAACTCAGGCGAATAATTTGCCTTCTGGAATTTCCATTAGATCTCATCATTTAGTTGCTTTATTTATCCTATCACTGATTTTATTTTTCAATGATTCTTTGGTTGCTAAGCTCCTTATATCACAGCTACCCAAACATCAGGTTACACAGGCCTCCAGCAGATTGGGTTCCTTCTAAGAGATTTAAATTGAAAGGCAGCATAGGCCATTATTGGTCTATTTACAGTTTTCATTATCAATAAAACAAGAGATCAGCATTTTCATGCTGCATGAAGCCTTCAGGGAAGTGCAATGTTGCTGTCATTATCTTTAGACCAGGCTACTGCCTGGCCCTACTAATGCAGATGGAATGATGAACCCATTAGAACAAAAATAAAATAATGAAACACAGAGTAGGCTGCTGACCTGGTCCCTGAAAGTGCCCCTTTGAATTTAGTGGAGCCTGGATGGCAAAGACCACAGATCATGACAGAACATAAATTCGCCTCATAATGAGATTACTAGGCAGGCAAAATAAATGCCCTGCTGTTATATTAGAGGCAGGCTTTAATCTGATGTTTTCCTTGGAAATGATCATTTCTTTTGCAACAGGGGAACTGTGGATGCAACTAGCTTAAATTCAACAGATTCTGTTTTGCCACAGAGTTATTTTTCATCAGCCTCTGTCTTTTTAATGGCAGTTTAGGGAGGGATATAAATGAGCTGTAAGTCTTAAAGACTATTACCAAAGTGAATTATGGGAGTCTATGTTGGCGATCATCAATTGCATTCCCCAGACTCCCTTTTGAAGATAAGTTCTGTGCAGCTCCCTCTCTCTGTTCTAAGCCAGAGCCCTGCTAGGGAGAAGGTGGTGTGACCCATGGTCCTCTCACTTTAGCTTTAAGGATCAAAGGCAGAATAGACTCACTATTGTATTCAGGGGTATTTTTTTTTTTTTTTAAATCTTTACTGCAGCTCTCCTACTTAAAACCAGTGGAAACAAGTATCACATACTACAGAGCCTTAAGAAAATGCCCGGATCAGGTGACCTCACATGGTCTCTGAGCAGAACAAAAGCCTGAGTATGGAGCCTGATTATGAGGAACTTCCTTAGTTTGCAGCAGCAGGCACTCTCACCTGGGAGCACATGCCCTCTCTCATTAAAAATGCAAGATAGCATCTCCTCCAGGATCCTTTCTACAGAACCTGATGCAGGTTCATGGGCTACGTGTCCTTAGCAGTGAGTGCATTTAATCAAAGCCTTCTGGGAAATAATCAAAGGTTTTCCTGAGTCCTGCAAAGTCACCAAACAAGTTAAGAGGTCCTTTCAAAAGGAATAGGAGATCAGACTCTGAATGTAGGAGTATTTGACACTTGTGCTTAGAAGGCGCAAGCAATTTAGTTTCTCTACCTTTGCTGGGGCCCATGCTAAAGACTCCTTGTTTTGTGAAACTGAGGATTTGGAGTAGACTGTTTTCTAGTACCGCAGTTCACAGCATTTTGATGTATTGTTTTTCTTAGTTTGAAAAGAAACTAGAAAAATCTTTTCCATCTTCATATGCTTTACAGTTGATGTGGTGGTTTACAAGCATCATTTCATCTAATGAAATAATTTCCAGTAAGTGCTTCCATCCAAAAACCCGAACTACGAATCCAACTCCTTTAAGAGAGAAATTATTTTTTGGCCCAATTTAGCAAGTGTTTTTTTTTTGACTTTCCATGTCTGAATAGATTTGAGTGTGTCTCTGCTTATGTCTTTTCTGTGTATCCTAATTTGCAAATGTCAAAGAATTTAAAGTCAATTCTCCTACTACCATTAATGTTTTCTCTGTTCTCTGTTAACTCCCTAATTATCAGATGAAATGGTTCAAGACAAGATAGACTAATTTTCCTCCAGGCAGGTGGTCTTATGTTTATTAGTGCTGTCTTCCAAATTAGCATTTTCATTTCCATAACTTTCTTCCAGTCCCACTCCTCCTGCCCTCAATCTCTACCGCATCTCCATGTTTTTTATTTAAACCGAAAGCAGTAAATGAATCCACTTTGCCAAGTGCCAGTACATTTGGTATGTGTTAATGATTATCTATTGGCCTTCCCATGCACTGAAGTCACAGAGTTAATGTTAGAGTTTCATGACACATAATCTTGCTGAAGGAATTTCCTGGATTATGTTTGCTTACCTCATATAAATGAACTTGTTCTTGGGTTACAGCAAAGATCAACAACACGTTGTTTTGTACCAGTTTATCAATGAGTTGTCCAATTGTTGGATATTCCTAAAATTAATGTATAGATTTTAAGAATCACCTTAAGGAAAAGGATATAAAATAAAGAAGGGCATTTACTTCAAAGATATTGTCCAGCGTTGCTCATTTCGTACAGGCATGGCTGTATCTATCACTCTAAGTAAACAAGTACACAATTAACATTATTCACTTAGTTGAGTAATATTTTCCTTAAATCTCCTAGGTTCAAAGATGTCTTTAGTGAGTCCCAGCAATGCAGTACATTGTGCACTCTCCCTTCTAAACTTATTTAAAGATTCATAGTATATATGTTTTCAAGGGTAAAGAAACATTTCTTCTCCCAAGTGGCACTCACCAGCAGAGAGGAATGTTATAATCAAGGGAGAGGCAGCTACACTATGATGCATGTGACTGAGGTCTTACTGGAATTGGATGAGGTGATATGAAGGTTGAAGAAGGGATAGTCCACTGATGAGTAACACTACAATTCTTAGGTCTGTCTGACATGAAATATTTCTACACGGACTTCTTGGGTTTAGTCTTACTGCCTTTTTAATGTCATAAACTGATTGTATGGGATTCTGCAAACATTTTTCAGGACTTCTGAGAAACACTGTACTTTTGGTCCATTGATAGTCATTCCCAAGTGATATGAGTATTGTCAAAAAATAAAAGAATTCATAAATTATCAAATTTGAAGTAGGACTTTATTTTCCAAGTCTGGAAAATATGAAACCTGCTATATGAATCCAAATATGGATAATTTCAGTAAGGAAATACAAATGAGAGAGGAGCCAGAAATTAATTAATTAAACTAAGAATGTGTTGATTATGACTAAAGCCAACCAAAATGGAGGAACACTGACAAAGAAGCCTTTCTGTACCCTAATAGGTGAGTTTATGTATTCTAAACACTATTGGGGTATTTTTGTCTGTCTTCTTTAGGTATAAGGTTCAAGTTGAAAGAAAAGTATAGTTTTGCTTAAAATACTCAGGTAAGTTGCCCAACTTCAAATCAGTATATGTACTTTTCATACACTGAGCCTGACATGTTTAGTTTCCTCTGCTTTCAACTGCCCAAACTTGAAGCATCCTCACCCTAAAGCCCAAGTCCTTCCAGTGCTGCCCTACCTCCATCTCCACCACCCCCACACCTTTCTACTCTGTGCAGGCAGAGCGAGTATCACACCACACAGCCCACATAGGATGTACTTTTCCATTTGAATAAGATCTGTTTAATTCCCATGACTATATGTGGATGCAAGGAATCTTTGGGAATTTGGGGAGGTCCTGGGATCATGTGTGCCATTGCAAATCCAAACTTGTCACATGTCCTACTATCCACCTCTGCTTTTGGGGAAACCTATAATGACAATGAGGATTGAAAGGGGGCAATCTATTAATTTCAAATCAGAAAACATACATTGCTTTTACCAACTGTGAGTTATTTTATATTGTATTATAGTGATTGTTGCTTCATTGGCCTATTTGTGGTTCTGAAAACAGTATAAAGGGCAGATTACATACCAAGACAGTTGACATGGAGTATTCATTCTTGTTGTCCAAGTGACAGAGCCCATCGTTGGGAATGACGATGCCTGCTAGTTTGCTGTCCATTCCAAAATGAGAATCGGCATCACTCACAAAGACCAGGAGATGCAGTGAGTCATTCCGCCAGCCAATTTTTTCCTGTAGTGAGAAAGAAACATTGGACTGTATTAGAGACAGGTAGGCACTTATTGAGTGTGGATCAATTCTGCTTGGACACATTCACATTGTAAACAGTATATTGCTGATCTATTTTAGCCTTTTTAAAAAAATCTATTTTGAGTTGGTAATATGTTAAAAATATGAAATTTCCTATGGCATTTGCTCTTTCCCACATTTTCAGATTATTTATGCTTCATAAAAAACAACTCCAATACAAAGCAGCGTTCAGTTGATCTTGATTTTTACATAGTTAATTATTTTTGCAGTCTAGCTATTAATTCGCCAGGAAAATGAGAGGAAGAGATGAGAGAGGTCCTATGTAATCCCAAATGCAAGCTGAAGCAAAGCTAGTCAAAACACAACACAAAACAAAGTAAGCCTGTTCCATTAAAATGTTGCCCAACATTTAGGCATATTTTTCTCTTTCTAATGATGTCATCCAAAACTTATAAACATAATAAAAATAGAAGAATTGCTTATCAAAGGATGGCTCCAAAGTCCTGCTAATTGAGATTGTCACAGTCTGTCTCAGCAGAGGTCTCTCCTTTAATAGATACTAGCACAGGAACTATTTGGGCAAAACCTCATTCTTGGCTTTTCCAACCCACCACATCTCTTTCCTTCCTTCTCTAACGTGATAGCCATCCTACCTTTTAGCATCTTTAGCCCTATTTCCTGATATTTTCCATGAAGGACTGTATCTAAAGACAGAAGAATTATTCTCTTGAATACTTGTCAGATAGTCAAGAAGGAACAAGGTCCCTACTATGCTGTAGATGAAGTCTGACTTTGGCTGCTGATGTTATTAGTTCAAAATGATAACAACCTGAGCTCCATAATGAGACCCTGTCTCAAAAAACCAAGGCTGGGGATGTAGCTCAGTGGTAGAGTGCTTGCGTAGCATGCATGAAACAATAACTATGCAATCATATGTATAGGTATATACTAACTCAAAGGCATTTTTACTTTTTTCATTAATGTTTTGTCTTTGATTTTTTTTCAGCATAATGAATCCAAAAATAAATTAATCTGATCTTTGAAAATAAGTCATACATGACTATTGTTCAACTCAAATTTTCCCAACACTACTACACTTTTCTTTGGTTATTCAAATAATGGACATAAAAATCCCCACTTCAAAATGTTACAGAAATTTTAAGAAAAGGTTCAAATGTAGCAATGTGGTGATTAAAGGAAAGAAAATTAACTAAGCTTTTCAAAGTAGATTTGTTAATAGGAGATGACATTTATGTTAATGGAATGAAATATCGAATCCCCTGAGCGTACCTTACACACAGCAGCTTGCATGATTGCATCAAATCCACCTTCCGGTGTGTCAATGTTAGCAGAAATTTTCTGATTCTTCACGATTTCATTGAATCTTTCAGCATCATTTGTCAATGGCAAAATATGCTTGAATCCAAATGTAGGTAAACAGAAGTATGGAATACTACTGCAAAAATAAGATGTGAAATGCCCTTGAAATATAATGCAAGACACAATTAATGGATTCATAGCCTAGCAACACATTTGCTTAAATAAGATCAATCTTTCTACGGGACCCAACTGTTCCTTGGATTTGAATCTCTCAGTTAAGGTTGTTGTTGTCATCTCCCACACATCCCTTCTGTGTTGATCTTATTGACCAACACTTATTTAGAGTTTACTGTGTGTCTTACACTGGCTCTAACTCAGATAACTGGGTAGTCAGACTCCCCATTCAAGCATGCATAATTGCGTCTTTGTATTGCCTCCCTCCCCAAATCCACCATTAAGTTCACCTATTACAGTCGCTTTGTATTCTGATATCTCCAGTTGACATCACTATGAATTATCTCATATCAAGACAAAAGCAGAATTTGTCTTCCTCCTCTGCATTGTCCTGTCCTTCAGCCCTGCCCGTCATGAGCCCAGAAATCACAGCAGGGCTCTTGGTTCTAGAGTCCAATTCTACTGTGAGTGAATAGATTGTTGGGTATCAACCTGGGATTAAAACTGCCACTTAATATGCTATGTTAGTGTGAAATCTGCACCAAAGATATAAAGTAAAACAAAAAAGAGTTCAGCCACATCTTATTCCGAAAGCCAGTTACTGGCTGTGCGTGTAACTTTCTGCAAGTTACTCAGCCCTTCTTAGCTGTGGGTTTTCAATTGTAAAGTGGGGATAATAGTACAGAGCAGAGCTCTCAAAGTGAAACCCTGGTCTAGCAGCTCTGTTATCATATGGTCATTGCTAGAAATGCAAAAAATTTAGCACACTATCTCAGACCTGCTGACTTGGAAATGTTGGGAGAGGGCTCAGCAATCTGTGTTGGACCAAACCTTGCAGATGCATGCTAATGTTTGACAACCACTGGTGTGGAAGTACAAAGAGATAAAAAGTGAGGTGTGGTATGCTGTGTGAGGCGAGCTGGTTGACTCTTGTAGAGCACACGTAGTGCTTGGGATTCAGCTCTGCAGGTCAAGCAGCCTGTCTTGTCAGCACACAAGGAACACGTGCATCTTTCAGACTCAGGGTGCTGTCAACCAAGTTCATCTGCCTGAGATATATGCTTGATCCTCATTATTTGTGGATTCTGTATTTGTAAATTCACCACTCAGTAAAATTTATCTGTAATCCCCAAATCAATACTTGCACCATTTTTTCAGTCATTCACAGACATGTGTAGAGAGGGAAAAAAAAAACCCCACAAAAACCAAAAACCATGAGTTTCCCAATATACAGCTGAGGTCAAACATGGTGATGCTCTGCTTTCTCGTTTAGGAAACACACTGTCAGGGTATAAACAAGTGTCCTTTTCATGGTCTACTTAGTGTTATGGGTTTCTTTTTTTTCATTTTTAACCTTGATGATTGCACTGTTGAAAATGAAAGTCTAAAAATGAAAGCCTAAGTCTAAAACTGAAGTCCTAGCTAGTGTTGCTAAGTGCAAAAAGGCTGTCCTGTGCCTTATGTAGAAAACACATGTGTGAGATAAACTTCATTCAGACATTAGTGATAGTGCTATTGCTGAAAGATATGTGGTAATGAATCAAAAAGTATCTATGCAATCGGGTGTTTTTAAACAGAAACACAGATAAAGCAAGGCTGTGTAATATCACTTGACTAAAACGTTACGATCAGAGGCTCACAGGGACCTAATCCTGTTTTTCTCCTTTTGAGCAATGTTCGGTATTAGGTAATTCAGTGGTTGGGAAAAGTTTATAGAACATGACTACCACACGGGACCAGAATCAGCTGTGCTACAAATCTGAATGAGTGAGTAATAAAGCTCTCACTGGGACCAGAATGCTGGTGGACGTGAGGACAGTCATTTTCTTTCCCTCGGAAGATGTGCATGGAAGCAGTTCAGATTCAAATGTGTCCCAGGCTTTAGACCAAGGTGAGTTGGAATACCCAAGCACTGAACGGCACAGCCTGAAATGTCCCAAGGTGATTACCTCTGGGATGGATGCTCTCGGTCACATCTGGTCCCTCCCCTGTGATTAGCTTCCTCAGCCAACAAAAGTTTTACAACTTCTGGCAACCAGTGAGACAGGAGATGCTGGAAATGCCTTGGCTGGAGTCGTTGGGTGGATAATAGACCACACTTGGCTCTGTGACCCTTATTTTTCTGTTCTACCCTAACCCACCTGGCCTATCCATTATCTCAGCTGTGTCAAGATACCTAGTCTGGTTGGTCCAAGGGCCAGTCCATTGTTTCCAGGTCACTTTTCATATTTCTGTCTGATTTGTGATGTCTCACCTTAACTCTCAGAAGTTATCTCAATTCTCTTATTTTTAATAATGTTCATTAGGTGTCATTGAAACACTGAGTGCTTACCACAGCTAGTGTTTACTTAGGGTGGTTGTGAGGCTTGGATGAGTTAAAATATGCCAAGCACAAAGCACAATGATCTCTTCAGAGTTGGTGCTTTAATAAACCCTGGTGTCATTTCTTAGATAAATTAGATCACCCAGAGTCTAGCACAGACCTGAGGACAGATAATGGATTTGGCTAATAATATCTTTAGAATCTTGTTTTTCCTGATTAAAATAATAATACACATTCATTGAAGAAAATCTGGGTTTTACATAGAAGTGTAAAAAGAAAATAAAAACAAATTTTAATGGCTGTGAGATGAGTCATTATTTAATCTATTACTGTGAGTTTACTTAAGTAATATAATAATCCTTTGAAATACACCCTTGCAAAATTCAATATTTTTGTTTGGAATAAATTCCTTAGTGGGGGATTTATGGGCTGTCTTTTGACCCATGTTAACAAATTCCTTTCCAAAAAGTTGAATCACCTGCCATTTCTGGTATTAGTATTCGAGACTGTACTATTTAATGAAACAAAAGAGTTGGTTAGCTAAGGAAAGCACCTGAAGGTAATTTAAATTTTTATGTTATTACTAATAAGACTGAGTACTTACCTATATTTAATGATATTTTATTATTATTCTTTTATCAATTTTCTTGCTTATATCTTTGGCTTATTTTCTTATTAGAATATTTTTATTTCCCAATTTAATTTTAAGAACTCTCTTAAAATAGTAATCTTTTATCTTTTAATTTTGCTTATGATGTTTTGGAATATATACCTTAAGGCTTTTTATACAATTTTTTTCTCACCTTCAAATATGCAAAGTGTTTTAAAGTGTGATATGAGAAAGCGGTCTAATGTTATTTTTGAAAAAACTGATGACAATAATTCAGTATGTGTCCTTATTACTCTTGTATAATGTTTGGAGTAGTTGTGGGGTGGTAGAAAATGCATTAGATTTAGAAAATATACTGAGTAATTCCTTATTCTTGGGAAAGTTACTTAACATTCTGCACCTTAGTTGTCCTCATCCATGAAGTGGGAGTTATAATACCTCCTTCACAAAGTGGCTGTGAAGCTTTATGACATAAAGAATGTGTAGCTGCATTCAGTTTACCATTGTCCCTGGTACATAACTATTCTTGGAAATTGTTTAATCTTTTATTTGGGGCTATTGGCTCACATGGTACCAAATGATACTGAAGTATCTCCTAGAACCAAAAACTGGCAGGCCTACCTTTTTGTAAGAAATTTTCATTGTTATTGGTTAGAATTAGTTTGTAAGTAGATGACTCTAGCTATCTTACCAGAACTCTATGCTTTTGGAAAGTGGAATGAAATTTAAATTTAGCTCACTAAGCAGATTCATATGATGGGAGACAATATAGCAAAAGCAAAGCAGGATGTTAGAGGTGGGTCACCCTGGGAACTTGGGAGAAGACCCCTGCTTTGCTGCTTTGGTCAGATTCTTCCTCTAAGCATGCTGCTTTCTTAGTACAGCATTGAAGGGAGCAGATAATTCTCACCAGTGATGATTTTTAGCGCCTAGACAGTAGTGCATTTACATTTAAAATGCAGGATAGTTGTGAAGCACAATATAAAGAGGTACTACTACCTGCATGCCTTTAAAAAATTTTAAATAAGTATTGATAAAATAAGAGCATGATGATATATATCAAAAAGTTAAAACCATGTTTTTCTGAGAAAGGTTAGAAATGATTTTCATTTTTCCTCTTTTCATCTGTATATACACATGGGCTTTTTACCTTTGCAGGGAGAAACTATACACTGTGTACTCACATATGTTCATGTGTGTTACATACAGGAAACCCATCTAAGCATTTCATGGCTCAGTTTCCTTTTTTGTAAAACTACAGCGAATTCCTCACCGTCAATGTCAAATTCAGAACAAAACAACATACCACAGTTGTATAGAGAATGAGTTTAAGAAGAAACCCTTTAAAATGATATAGGGAGAAAATTTAACTTTTGTGCTATAAAATACTTTAAATGCATGTTACAGCTCCTTTACAAATATGAAAATGAAGAAAACCTATCTCTTGTACTGTATCTTAGACAATAGCAAAGGAAATGCTTTTAAAAATGTAAAGAACTTCATCATTCTTACAGGGGAAAATAAATTTTTAGTGACCATCTTTCCATTGAAAATAAAGAAAGGTAGTCCAAAAAGAAAAGCATTAGAGCTTAGGTTGGAAGGGTAGGTTTTTTTGTGCTGGCAGGGGGATCAAACCAGGGTCTCACACATGCTAGGCAGTAACCTACAACTGTGCCCAAAGAATAGTTTTTAAAGTGTGGTGCACAGACTGATGGGGTCCCTGAGACATTCCACAGGGCTTTTAAGGTGAAACTATCTTCACAGTAATGCAGAGAAGTCATTTGTCTTTTTTACTGTGTGTCATTTGCACTGATGATACAAGAGCAGTGGTAAGTCAACTTTTGGGGCCTTGGCATTAATTGAGGCAGTGGCACCACACTGTGCTTCTAGTCCTAGTGTTTTTACCAGCAGGTATTCACCTTAATAATAAGTAACTAGTAAATGTTAGTTTCACTTGATTGTCTAAATGAAGCAGTAAAAGTAATTATTTGTATTAAGCATCTGTTTTTTAATACACAGCATTTTCTTT